TTTATACTGCAGCCTTTTTTTATCAATTATTACATGTCAGCTAAGATAAAATCCCTAAATTATCCTTATCATCTCTCCTTAATCTCTCAGACCCAGCAATCATATCATCTTTCTCTCTCATCTCCTCTCTCTCTCTCTCTCCTCTCTCTAAGACTAAGAGCTTTCTCAAGCTCGTCACCCTGGCCCTCGCCTTCCTCGCCGTTGCCGCCTCCGCTCAGGCCCCTAAGGCTCCCCTCGAGTTCGTCGTCGCCTCGCCTCCCCTCCTCCACCCGTCCTCGTCGTTGTAGATCGCCGCCGTTCCCCCGCCATAGATCGCCGCCGTTGAGACGCACAGAGCATTAATCCATTAGCTAGAAGAAGAAAAGAAAAAAAAGAAAAAGGCTTGACTTGAACTTATAGTTAACAAAGCCTTCATACTGCAGAAGGAGTCTGCATGTGGAGATAGCTGTGGGCGTAATCTTGGGCCAAATTTTTCAGGCAGTAATGAAGAATGCTCATAGTGTTTGATGAGAAAGATGATTGTAGCTAATACACATTCTCTTGCAAAATTTGAAGAAAGAATAACGTCTCTTGTGAACTTAGTATTATTAAATTTATGGATTTTCAGATGATGACAGAATCCAAGTTATTTACATTTATCTGTAATCATATTTTGGAAATTGATTAATTTCTTGGTGCTCGGTGGTTTTGTATTCTTTTACTTTTTGTAAACTTTTGGATGTTCCTTTCTTAGTTGTTTAATGCTTTTGTTGAGTGGCATTGCATGAATTTTCCTTTTGTTATTACATGTAGTCCTTTGTTTGCTGTAAAAGACTTACATCCTCTCTATACTAACTCCATGTTATGATTTTTAACTCCTAGCTATAAGAATTTCATAACATTGTTTGTATTGCAGTTCTAGCCCACACCTTGCTAGTTCTAAACCCAACAAGGGTTTTTACATGCATACTTGTTAATTCTTGATTCTGCATTAGTTCTAGCTTCTATTACCCTAGTTCTAGCTTGTATACAGCCAGTTGTAGCCCACACATTGCTAGTTCTAAACCTAACAAGGGTTTTTTACATACACACTTGTTAATTCTTGCTTCTGCGTTAGTTCTAGCTTCTATTACCCTAGTTCTAGCTTGTATACAGCCAGTTCTAGTCCATACCTTGCTAGTTCTAAACCCAACAAGGGTTTTTTACATGCACACTTGTTAATTCTTGCTTCTGCGTTAGTTCTAGCTTTTATTATCCTAGTTCTAGCTTGTATACAGTCAGTTCTAGCCCACACCTTGCTAGTTCTAAACCCAACAAGGGTTTTTACATACACACTTGTTAATTCTTGCTTCTGCGTTAGTTCTAGCTTCTATTATCCTAGTTCTTCCGCGTTAGTTCTAACTTCTATTATCCTAGTTCTAGCTTGTATACAGCCAGTTCTAGCCCACACATTGCTAGTTCTAAACCCAACAAGGGTTTTTTTACATGCACACTTATTAATTCTTGCTTCTACGTTAGTTCTAGCTTCTATTACTCTAGTTCTGGTTTGTATATGGCCAGTTCTAGCCCACACCTTGCTAGTTCTAAACCCAACAATGGTTTTTTACACGCACACTTGTTAATTCTTGCTCCTGCGTTAGTTCTAGCTTGTATTACCCTAGTTCTAGCTTGTATACAGCCAGTTCTAGCCCACACCTTACTAGTTCTAAACCTAACAAGAGTTTTTTACATGCACACTTGTTAATTCTTGCTTCTGCGTTAGTTCTAGCTTTTATTACCCTACTTCTAGCTTGTATACAGCCAGTTCTAGCCCACACCTTGCTAGTTCTAAACCCAACAAGGGTTTTTACATACACACTTGTTAATTCTTGCTTCTGCGTTAGTTCTAGCTTCTATTACCCTAGTTCTAGCTTGTATACAGCTAGTTCTAGCCCACACATTGCTAGTTCTAAACCCAACAAGGGTTTTTTACATGCACACTTGTTAATTATTGCTTCTGCGTTAGTTCTAGCTTCTATTATCCTAGTTCTAGCTTGTATACAGCCAGTTCTAGCCCACACTATTATCCTAGTTCTAGCTTGTATACAGCCAGTTCTAGCCCACACCTTGCTAGTTCTAAACCCAACAAGGGTTTTTTACATGCACACTTGTTAATTCTTGCTTCTGTGTTAGTTCTAGCTTGTATTACCCTAGTTCTAGCTTATATACAACCAGTTCTAGCCCACACCTTGCTAGTTCTAAACCCAACAAGGGTTTTTTACATGCACACTTGTTAATTCTTGCTTATGCGTTAGTTCTAGCTTCTATTACCTTAGTTCTAGCTTGTATACACCCAGTTCTAGCACACACATTACTAGTTCTAAACCCAAGAAGGATTTTTTACATGCACACTTGCTAATTTTTGCTTATGTGTTAGTTCTAGCTTGTATTACCCTAGTTCTAGCTTATATACAACCAGTTCTAGCCCATACCTTGCTAGTTCTAAACCCAACAAGGGTTTTTTACATGCACACTTGTTAATTCTTGCTTCTGCGTTAGTTCTAGCTTCTATTACCTTAGTTCTAGCTTGTATACAACCAGTTCTAGCCTACACCTTGCTAGTTCTAAACCCAACAAGGGTTTTTTACATGCACACTTGTTAATTCTTGCTTCCGCGTTAGTTCTAGCTTGTATTACCCTAGTTCTAGCTTGTATACAACCAGTTCTAGTCCACACCTTGCTAGTTCTAAACCCGCATTCGTATTTTACCTTCACACTTGTTAATTCTTGCTTCTACGTTAGTTCTAGCTTCTATTACCCTAGTTCTAGCTTGTATACAACCAGTTCTAGCCCACACCTTGCTAGTTCTAAACCCAACCTTTGTATTTTACCTTCACACTTGAGAATAAACTACAGAAATTTCTCAGAGCCTTCACAGCTACTTAACAGGGCCATGTTCCTTTAAATTTTAATTTAAAAAAAACAATGTGACAGACCAGAAGCATGAACAAGAAAAAAATTTGAAACATAAAGGAGCAAAATCCATAGCTAAGCAAGGATTCCAAATTTTCCTTACCATAGTGTTCGAATTCATGAAAGTTTGACATGTAAGTAGAAAATCTATGTAGGCCAAGAATGCATGCGCAAACAAGAAAAATTTCCAACTTGCACTTCCACAGAGAAAACTGAGCATAGATGACAACTGAGACAGACCTAGACCGACTCACCGCCCTTTTTTGCGGTATACTTGAAAGATTTTTTTAGAATAGCGCTATTGCTATAGCTTAGGGCTTCTATCGCCTTGTTATAGCGGCTCTTCCTTCCCTTTCTCACTGAGCAAGCTCACAATCAATCTCGGCTAGCTGGTCTCTCAAGACACTTCTGTCCCCTCTCATTTCTTCTTTCGCCTGAACCTGCGCATCCATGATCCTTGCCTGTGCCACGTGTCTGGTATGGATGGAGAGGGCGGCGGACGGGGATATTGAGTACGGTCTATTTTGAGAGATTCAATCCTTGCTTCTTCTCTAAGGTAATTGATTGCTTATTCGAAGAGTCCGGAGACTGATCAGATGGATTAGTGTCAGTCAATCTTCTTTCATTTATCTATGCCTAAATGAGTCTTTCTGTGTCAAAGTAGTTATCACTATTCAACCCATTGTAACTAGGCGAAAGAAGCCAAGAAGCTGAAGACGTCAACCTTTGTGGTCACATTCCTCATGTATGCAAATTCTTTAACATAGAAAACACATCGATCAGTGACTGTTAAATATCCCTTTTAACTATACTCTGTTCGTGAAAGTGCTAGAGTGGACTCAGTATATGCATCAATCGCTATGAGTATCATTGCTTACAAGGTCATTGGATCCTTTTCAATAGAGTCGTTAGTGTTAATGACGAAGAAAATACATCTTATGTACCAATCTATCAAACCTTAAGCTATACTTAACATCTTCACGAAAAAAATATCTTTGTTAACAAGTTTAGATGACATTCTCCAATAAAAGTTGTTCCCCTTGCAGCCGTTGTTGTTGTGGTTATCCTTAACCTTGGATATGAGCTAATTTACTTCCACCTGTTGAACTTTGTTGCGTATAATTTATTCTTTTATTATCTAGTTATTTATTTTAATTCTAAATCGGCTTAGCTATTCATGTATTATGTGAGCTATGTTTCACAGAACAATAGGAATAGCTAATTTTCTCCTACAAGTGTGATAATTAGTTAATATGCATAATTAAATAATATCAAACCTCAGGCCCTCGCTTTTCGAGAGTTTTCCTCAAGCTCTGCGACGACGATCTACTACGGGGGAGCGGCGGCGATCTACGACGACGAGGACGGGTGCAGGAGGGGAGGCAGCGGCGAACTCGAGGAGGGGAGGGGAGCCTTGGGAGCCTGAGCGGAGGCGGTAACGGCGAGGAGGGCGAGGGCCAGGGTGACGAGCTTGAGAAAGCTCTTAGTTTTAGAGAGAGGAGAGAGAGAGAGAGAGAGAGAGAGAGAGAGAGAGAGAGAGAGGATATGAGAGAGAGAGGATATGAGTGCTGGGTCTGAGGGATTGAGGAGAGAGGATAAGGATAATTTGGGGATTTTAGCTTAGCTGGCATGTAATAATTGATAAAAAAAGACTGCAGTACAAAGTGTCACACATCAAGGGGCTGATTCACATAGGGAAAAATATAAGGGGCCTCGTCACATGAAGTTTCTGCTTTTGGGGCCCAAACACATTTTTCCCAAAGTTTAATTTCTCATCATTTTTCAATCAGCCACAATAAGTTCAAAATATAAAATAAATATATCACATGCAAAACACATGCACTATAATAACATCTAATAAATAAATGAATATAAAAAAATATTAATTTTTTTGTGAAATGAGCTAGAAATAAGAATATAGCCCAAAACCTCCTGAATAGAGAAAAGAAAAAATTTATAGGGTTTTATATGTAAGTATGGTAGGAAGAAATTGTGCCGACGGCCGAGGGCTACAAATGAAAAGAGGGTTCACAGGGTTATGTTGGCAATATTCTATTAGTTAGGGTTGTCCCCTTTTTTAATATCATCAACAACAAAGTCCTTTTTATTTTATTTGCAGCCTAAAATTTCAGCGAAGCGAAAGCGGAGGAGACTTTAGTAGAGCGCATCAACTTGGTGATTACTCGTCTCTCTTTCTCTTTCTACTTTGGATTCCTATTGTAGGAACCCTAGAAAAGCCCTAATCGATCTGCCATTTTCCTTTTTTTGCGGGCTTTGATCTTTCCTTTGCATTGTAAATTTATAATTGATCTGGATCTGACTCTTCGGTAGTTCGTTAAATTGCTTTCTTGATAATAGGTGCTGAGTTTAAATTCTGGGAAAAAGCTGGCACTTTGCCCTCTAATTTCTTGAAAGATTCAATTTTGAAGGGGTTTTCTTGATTTTGTTTTTTTAATAGAACAGGCAGAAAGAGATAATGTGTGAGCAAAACAGGAAAAGGTGCGAACTTTCTATGGTTTTCATTATACAACTCCTTGTTTCACAAAACCCCCTCTGAACTCGGGGGTGATTTGCGGAAACCCTCCTCGAGCTTTATAAATTAGAGGAACCCCCTAATTTTTTTTGAAAAGTTTTAACTGAAGTTTGGTTAAATTCTGTTATTAGGGTTTGTTCGAAAAAGAAAATAGAAGAGAGTTCCGGGTTTTGCCGAGGGAGTTTTTTTAATTAAAAAAAGTATTTCAGATTGTAGAACTTTTGAAAGTTCAGGCGGTTTTGTGAAACTCCCCAATGTTAGGGTTTTTTCTCTAATTTTTGAAGTTTAAGGAAATTTTCTAGAAATTTACCCTGAATAATACCAGTAACCCGGTTTCTTAATTATTTTTGTGAAGGACGTAGACATCGCAGTAGTTTTGGCGAAGTTTTTATTTCAAAATTAATAATAATAAATAAATAAATAAATAAATAATGGAAAGTTGCTACCGCATCAGATTTTTGCCCAATCTTCTTACAAATGAGCTGAGGGAGAAGTTGAAAACGGGAGTAGTTACTCAAAATTTCAGCATTGTATAAGAAAATTGTGATGATTATTACCCTATAACACAAGGTTCTTAGAGATGGATAATTGTTCTAATGTTGGGAAGAAATTTTATTATTAGATTATGGAATTATTCTCTTCATTTGTTAGCTTTAAAAGAATATTGATCAGCCATTGCATAGTTTAAACATTTCAGCTAGGCATGGCAGTTCCTTTCCTTTTTTTCCTTTCTTTTTTCTTCTGCGAAGATTGCTCATGGTTTGTGTACAAAATGCTTGATTTTGTTTCTGTGTATTGGGAGATCCTATGAAAGGCTGATTTGATTACACAAATCAAATAATATTGTAGAGGCAGTGTGAATAGCTCAAAGATTTAACAAGTTTGCGTCATCCTTAAGGTTGGTAGATATTGTAAACTTTTAGTAAATTTTTTCCAGATATGGTTCTCAAGCCCATGCAACTTCTTTCTTGATTGAAATTTTCTATACGACGCTTGAACTAGATGCAATCAGCTACATATAATTGAGGGTTTTCGCTGAATTTGTTACTTTTGTTCTGACAGAATATCTTCTTTTATTGGTTGCTCGACAATTGGAGATTATGCCCCGTATCGCAGGGGGGAAGATTTTGGCTATATGCCAATCAGGTGGAGACTTTGTTACAAGCAGTGATGGATCCATGTGTTATAACGGTGGAGAAGCGCATGCAATTGACATTGATCGTGATATGCTGCTCAAGGATCTCAAGTCTGAGATAGCTAGTATGTTTCACTGCAGGGCTGATACATTTTCCCTCAAATATTTTCTTCCAAACAACAAAAAAACTCTCATCACAGTTTCTAGTGACAAAGACTTACAGCGCATGGTTGATTTCCATGGAGATTCTCTTACGACTGACCTTTTTGTCATCAAAAACACAAAAAAGGTTGAGAATAGGTATGTGTTGTATCTGTTTTTTAAAAGGTTTTTAGCTATATAACCGGTATGTGTTGTATCTGTTTTTTAAAAGGTTTTTAGCTATATACCCCCAAATCATCCATATTCATTAAAACCTCCCCCCCCCAACCCACCCCCCACAAAAAACAATCTTGATGCTTATTAATATGCCGATTTAATGTTGATGTTTGTTAATATCTCATAATTCTTCAACATTGAGTTAGTATGCTGCAACAAGGACTTAACAAAAACTAAGGAACAATTTTGAGAATATTCCTTTTGGGGTGCGTACTAGCTCAATGTTGAAGATTTGGGGGCCTTTTATAAATATCAAGCTTTGAGGGGTATTATAATAAATATGGATGATTTGCGGGGTATATAACAAAAAACCTTTTTAAGGTGCCAGATGGTACTTGAAAGTTTACCAAATAACAACAACAAAGGCTTTATCCCAAATTGGAATTTGAAAATTTACCAAAAAATACTGTATTCTGCAGGAAAACTAAGAGTGTTGTGGCTGACTCAGATACCCCTACCAGAACCACCATTGTCGCAAATAATAATGGTAGTTGCAACACTTCTGACACGGCCAAGCGTCGGAGGGTACTTGACGAGTGGGAAAATTTGATCACTGGCATTGGTCAAGTATTTGATGACATAAAATCATTAAGGGATGCACTCCACAAGTATGCTATTGCAAATACCTTTGATTACAGATTCGTCAAGAACGAGTCCCTTCGCTTAACTGCTGAGTGTACTACTGAGGGCTGTCCATGGAGAATCCATGCATCCAGAGCCGCGGGTACACAAGAGTTTGTAATCAAGAAATGGAATGAAACTCATACTTGTGGGAGGAGGGCAGGCACAGAACGAAATAAGCTAGCAAATCAACGATGGGTTGCTAGTGTTATAAAAGACAAGCTCAAAGATTCTCCAAATTATAGCCCAAAGGACATAGCTAATGATCTCCAACGCGAATATGGAGTCAACTTGAACTACACACAAGCGTGGCGTGGGAAATATTTTGCAAAGCAGGAGCTTCACAATTCCCACGAGGAGGCTTGCAGTCAACTACCTTGGCTTTGTGGGAGGATATTGGAAACTAACCCAGGCAGTGTAGCTACATTGGAAACTTCAGAGGATTCGAAATTCTCTCTCTTTATTGCCTTCCATGCATCTCTTAGTGGCTTTGAGCATGGTTGCCGCCCTCTTCTTTTTCTTGATGGGATATCCCTCAAAGCAAGTAAGCAGTGGAAAATTCTGGCAGCGAATGCAGTTGATGGTGAGAACTCTGTTTTCCCGGTTGCTTTTTCAATAGTAGATACTGAGACTCCAGAAAACTGGCACTGGTTTCTCACGCAGCTGAAATCTGCTCTGTCAACATCTCGCACAATAACTTTTATATCCAACAGAAAAAACGGTCTTGAGGAAGAGGTAACTCAAGTTTTTGAGGGTAGCTACCATGGTTATTGCATTCGTCAGCTAGAAGAGGATTTCAAGGAAAAATTGGAGGAGGAGGAGGAAGAGAAGACACCAGAGGCAAAGGATAAGATAATCAGTGAACTTAAAAAATGTGTTTATGCTTGCAAAGTTGATGAGTTCAACGAGTGCATTGAACACATCAAAGCCGAATCCAAAGAGCTCGCTGAGTGGGTTTCGGCTGCCAAGCCTGAACTCTGGTCGAATGCATTATTCAAGGGTTTGCGCTATGACAGTTACTCCTCTGATGCTTCAGTGACATTCAACAGCTGGATAAAATCAAGGTATGAGCCGTCAGTTGTACAGATAGTCGACATGATTAGGTGCAAGATGATGGAGATGATATACACTCGTCGAGAGTCCTCAAATTCTTGGAGGGAAATACTAACACCATCCATGAACCAAAAAGTACAAGACGACATAGCCAAAGCACGAAACTTCGAAGTGATATGCTCAACTGGGAGCGTGTTTGAGGTCCACGACGATCCAGTCTGCGTCGTCAATATCGAGACTTGGGAGTGCACATGCAGAAAATGGCAGGTCACTGGCATGCCATGTGTGCACGCTCTTGCTGTTCTTGTTCGAACCGATGGGTGCATTTACGAATTCTGTTCTAAGTATTTCACGACAGAATGCTATCGATTGGTATATTCATTATCAATCATTCCAATACCCGATGTTGGAAGATCTAGATGTGTTGTTCCTATGAATGTGGATTTGGTGGGTGAAGAGACAATGACGACATCAGCTTCTCCTCTTCCTTGTCGAAGTCGTCCGATCATAATCTACTTAATTTTTTTTTGGCTTTTATTTGTTTCTTTATTTTCATCTTCCGGCGATCTATCTCTCTTCCCTTACGGATAAATAAGCTCATGCAGCTATTCTTGGTTTACTTTCACCTGTATCCATTCCCATCCAGTTTGGCCGTCCCCTTAAGCCAAAACAGAAAACCCAGAGATCCACGGAATAACGACGAAGGAGAAGCGTCGAGTTGATGTGGTATAGGTGTGAGTGTTTGGTGTCATAAAGCGGCACGGCAAACATTAAGCAAACGAGCATCAATTATAAGTTTTTAGATATAAGCCATCCTGTGTTATTAGTTTTGTTCGTGAGTATGTACTATTAGTTGAGTATTAGTTTGGCAAGGATCACCCTCGCTTATGAGCGCTATCTTTTGTGGAACAGTTATCTATTGTCCGTTTCTCTGAGGCCTAAGATCTTATGGAGGGGTGAGGCGGGGGGAACGGGAGGAGTGGGAGGAGGATGGTGAGGAGGCGGGGGGGGGGTTCCAAAAGTAGTTCAAGAAACAATTGATCTAGTTTAAATGGATACTGGTGGCCGATTTGTTTTACGATTATCCAAATGTGGCGCTGCGTCAAATGAATTCTTATTACTGCTGGTACTTCTCTGTAAGCATATTTGATATGTGAATGGGTTGAAAGGGACTACTCTATGTTCAATGTAATTGGGCGAATCGTTGTTTCCTCTAATACCTCTCAGTCAGGAAAACGCTCATTCCTGCCAATATCTACTCTGGGTGAACAACTGGTGAATCACGAATAGCGATTTGATCTTAATACAGGACACAATGTTACTGAAGTTTATTCAATAGAAAGAGTCCTTTCGCACATATAGGGGGAGATAAAAGTTAACAGTATCCTATTCTGCTGGGTTTTTCATAACAAACTATAATATCAACTTTCCTGCCATCAAATCTTTATCAAAAGCCCATCACAACTCTTCAATTCGTATGCATTCAATTTGAAATTGTTTAGTTTTGGCCAAACGTGCGGACTTTTTCGTCAGCTTCCTTTCATTTGCACTATAAATGTGGTACTGATAAAACTAGGCGGACGAGGTCAATTTTAGAGTATGTTTAATGTATGAGTAAGACTAAGAGCAGAAGTGTCCTACCTATATTTCTTTACCCATCCCCATTATGCCATAATAACGAAACAACCCACTAGATAAATTAAAGATCAAAGAAATTTATTTCTTCAAAAGCTAACTATTGAGATACGACGGTGGAGTCAGGAGCACTCGTAATATGATGAATTTATACTCGACAAGACAATCAATAACATTTCCACATTCTTCCCACATCGGATTAACGCCTCCATAACTTCGAAGGAGTTGCAATTCACTGTCAAGACTGCCAATGCAAGTTACTACAGAGAAACACGAGAAAGTTTAAGTGGTTGATACCCACATCGTATCCAATCCTCTTATAACCAATGTCAAATGCGGGCTTATCCAAGAAAAATTCCCCACATCAAACAAGCGAGTTTAACGCAATCAAACCCATCCGCAGCACACCGAAAAAACCGATATGGATCATCAGCAATTACCGGGTTACCCTCGATGACTTGATCCATACGGCTACCGCGCGCCATGTTACCACTTCTATGATGCACCTCTTCAAATAGGAATCCATTTTTCTGAACAGACCTGCTTTC